AGAGTATATACTACAAGCCTGCCCCCAGTTGTCAGCACACAGCCCCTCTCCCTCTCTGGGTCTAAAGTCCCCAACTGCTCCATCTCTCCACATCATTGTCTCTGCCTTCATCTCAGGCATCACTGCTTATCTGAGTAGGGTTCCGCTCTCTGCTCTTCTCCCTTGATGGTCCCAGGGACCTCCGCACCTAGGCTGAAGAGTTAATCACTCCCCTCCTTGCTATAAAACGTCTACCTTTATATTTCCAACCCTCACAAGCAGTCCTGATAACAATTATTCACTGTTGTATCACAAGAGACCCATCCGCATTTCATTTCATCATCCCTGCCTAGACAGATTGGATACTACTCAGTGGAGATTCTACCTTCCTTCAGGCCCTCTGAATCTAGGTTCCCTCTTGAAAGCTTGTAAGCCAGTCACTTCTTGCCTTTGCAGCCCCTCATTTTGGGTAGCCAATGTCCAAGTTGCCCATCCCTGTCTACTCTGTGTATGGAGGGGGTGGGAATGATCCTTGCTGTAAAGATTTGTTCCCTCTTTTGAGCATCCATAGGTGTAGGTCAAGTTCATCAAATTGTATCAGATTACTCTTTTTTTCCTCTTCTTTCTTCTTCTAGTTGAGCTCTGATCATTCAGTCATTGAAGCCAGGTCAAGTGGGTATTATCTGCAAGTGTGGGTGTTCTTGTGCATATGCCCTCTCTTCTTATCAGCTGAACGCTTCACTCTCTACTCTAGTCCTCTATGGCTATGTCACTGACTCTGGGCCGAAGAGTCCCCAGGTCTTGCCACACTGCTGGCCAACCAAACCCCTTAGAGTTGCATATACACCATCCCATTGCCGTCTTGCCTGAATGGTTTCTGCTGAGAAATCAGAGCTTAGTTTTATGGGTTCCCCTTTGTAGGTAGCATTTTTTCCCAAGCTGCTCTAAATACTTTGTATTTGACTTGGAAAAATTTGATTGTAGTGTGTCTTGGGGGACTTTATTTTGACATCTATCCTGTTTCAAGTTCATTGACTTCCTTGGAAGTGGATATGTTTTTGTTCCTTTCATGATATTAGGGATGTTTTCTCCTAGCAAATTTTCAGCAAGTCTGTGTTGTTGTTTGCCTCCTCCTTTATGGAATTCCTATCACAGGTAAATATTTCCTATTGCTAGTGTCCCACATAATTTGTAAATTTCATCATTTTTCTTCATTCCTTCCCCCAGATTTTTTCTCATACAAATTGGTGTCATAGGATTTGTCTTCTAATTCACTAAACCATTCTTCAGTTGACTCGATTCTGTTCCAGTGTGTTATCTATCTCTGACATTTTTGTGCTGATCTTTTGGATTCCTAATTGCTGTTTTTGTGTAGCTTCTACTTGTCAATATGTCATTTTGCTCTTACAGTGTTTTCCTGACTTCTTTTAGGGTACTGTCTAGATTTTGTTTGTAGTTTCTTGATTTTGTTTGTAGTTTCCTTGAGTTCTTGAAAGGTCCTAAGTAGAAATCATTTGAAATCAGGTAGTTTGATTCCCTGTTCTTCCTTGTAGAGGTTTCCTGGTTCTTTATTTTGGTCGTATGCACACACCATTGTGTCCTGTTTTTTTTGTGTGTGTTTTTTTTTTAGTTGTTTTTTAAATTTAAAGTTGTCTGTTGTCTGAGACATCTTGCGGTTGTGTGTGTTTTGTTGATTATGCATTGGTTTGTTTCACATTGATTTTTCCAGTTGCTTTGTTTTGATATACCTGGGCAGCTGGGGTGGGCAGCATGATCATGCTAATTTGGTGACTGGAGTAACCAGTGGAGTGTGGGCACGTGTCTCTGTCTGCTGGTCGTGAAGAGCAGCTATGGGCAGGGTGTGCAGGTGGTGTCAACCCCCACTATCTGTTGTTGATTTGGTGGTGCGGGAATGTGTGATAACACTCCTAGGCTGGGTGCGACAATAGGGGTTAGGTGTGGGTGGTATGCCACATGGTAAATAGTAGCTTCTATTTTATGGTGGAGTCCTGGTGTGGAGCTGTAGGATAAGCACTGGACTGCCAACCACAAGGCTGGCAGTTCAAACCTACCAGCCGCTACTTGGAAATGCTACACAGGGTCGCTATGAGTCAGAACTGACTCTATGAGACTTAACAACATTAATAACATTTTATTATGGAATGATATGGAACTTCTGGATGGTATAAATGGTTAGCATGCTCAGCTACTAAATAAAAGGTTGAAGATTCAAGTCCACTTAGAGGGGTCTGGGAAGAAAGGCTTTTGAGCTACTTTTTAAAAAATGAGCCATCAAAATCCCCGTGTAGCACGCTACTTCTCTGACACACAGAAGTTCACCATGAGTTAGAATTGACTTAGCGGAAACTGGCTTTATTGTTAAGATAGTGATGGTCATTTCCTTTCTGCTTCTGTGCTCCAGCATTGTATCCGAGCAGAGAAGTAAGAGAGGTTTAGACATTGGATTATGAAAATTATAGAAGTAAAGTGAAGTCTGGGATAATTTTATCTTCCTTCATGGACCATGTACCTTTATTTCTGGAGGTGACATGACGTGGGACCTAGCAGCATGCAATCACCTTAATTCAGTTATAGTTGGACTTTAGCCCCTGCTGGCTATCTACTGCTCACTCTTCCTGGTTCCACAGATTAACCTGCTGTGGGCCCAGCTTGGGGGATTCACCAGGAGAGCCCAGATGCTTTTTGTCCTCTTGGCTCCCTAAGTTTAAGGCTTTCTTAGTTGTCTTCCAGAATAGGCAAATGACTCTGGGACTAACAACCTCACATGTTAAGCTTACCTGGGGTCCCTTCTCCTGGATCTTGGCTCCTTCCTTGTGTTCTTAGCTCTCCAATGCCCTTAATCAGATTTTTTAAAAAATTTTAAAAAAGGAATATCTTGTCTGCTTTTCTGGTTAGTTACAGGGGAAGGGTTGTCTGAATGACCTCATCTGTCATGACCAAAGCAGCTGCCCCACTTTTGCTGTCTTTGTATGGGCCTGACCATCATGCTGTCCTCCTCACCTCAGCCTTCTTGTTGTCAAGTGCAGTTGGGTCAGTTCTGACTCATAGTGACCCTGTATAGGGTTTCTGAAACTGTAAATCTTTGCAGAAGCAGTAAAGCTTCATGTTTCTCTCTCAGAGCTACTGATGGTCTCGAACTCCCAACCTTGTGGTTTTCAGTCCAGTGCTTACCCTACAGACCCATGATACTCCATCACCTCAGTTTTATCAGCTGTAAATGAGCAATAGTGAGGAAACTTCTGAGAATACAAGATGATGCTTAGTATCTTCCTACTGAAACCCAGGCCCTGTGCTGAGTACCGACATTGTTTCATGTAACCCTCTGGACAACCCTGTGAAGAGGGAACCGATGTTGAAACTATTTGTGGCCAAAGAAACTGAGGTGAGAGGTTACGCAACTGGAACTGGTATTTTAACCCTGCTCTGTCTTACTTTAAATCCTCTACTTGTCTTTTTTTAAAATTGTGGTCAATGTATATAAAAAAACCCCACTGTCATCCAGTTGATTCCAACTCATACCAACTTCATAGGACAAAGTAGAACTGCTCCTTAGGATTTCCAAGACTATTTATTATTTGAATATGAAGAGGACTTAAAACATTCACTGATGAAGATCAAAGAGCATAGCCTTCGGTGTGGATTGCATCTCAGTGTAAAGAAAACCAAAATTCTCACCGCTGAACCAATAAACATTCTTATCAACGGAGGAAAGATTAAAGTTGTCAAGGACTTCATTCTTCTTGGATCAACTATCACCACTCATGGAAGCATCAGTCAAGAAATCAAACAACGTATTGGATTAGGCAAATCTGCGGCACAAGACCTTTTTAAAGTGTTGAAGAACAAACTTGTCAGCTTGAGGACTAAGGTGTGCCTGACCCAAGCCATGGTATTTTCAATAACCTCATATGCATGCAAAAGCTGGACAGTGAATAAGGAAGACTGTAGAAGAATTGATGCTTTTGAATTATGGTGTTGGAGGACAATATTGAAAAGTGCCATGGGCTGCCCATAGAACCAACAGATCTGTGTTGTAAGAAGTGCAGCCAGAGTGCTCCTTGGAGGCCAGGATGGCCAAACTTCATCTCTCATACTTCAGACATTTTGTCAGGAGAGAAGGAAACCCTGTACAGGGTCACTATGAGTCAGAACCAACTCCACGGTACTTACCAACAACAGTGCAGGACCGGGTAGTGCTTTAATCTGTCGTGCATAGGGTCGCGATGAGTCTGAACCAACTCGATGGCACCTAGCAACAACAATGTATCTTTACGGGAGCAGACAGTCTCATCTTCATCTCACGGAGCAGCTGGTGAGCTTTAGTTTCCAGCCATTTGTTTAGCAACCCAGCACTTAAGCCATGCCACCACCAGGACGCCTTTGATAAATCTATAGGTAACAAAAGTCTTTGTCATTTTAACAATCTTCACGTGTACAGTTCAGTGAAATTAATTGTGGTTATTATGTTTTTCAACCATCAGCATTAACCATTCTAGCATTTTCCCTTCACCTTCACAGAAGCTCAGTGTCCTGTAAGCATTATGTCTTTCCCCTTCCACACCCCAACTTTGCCCCTCCACCACCATGGCTGGTAACCACTCATAAACTTTGATCTCTGTACACTTGCCTGCTATAGATATTTTGTTAGGTGGGCATTCAGCATAATGTTTTCGAGGCTCATCCCTATTGTAGCATGTCTATTTATGACAGTGCTAGTTCATTGTACTGATAGACAACATGTGATACATCTTTAGGTTCTTTCTACGTTTTTACTATTGTAACTCATGCTGCATGAACATGAATGCACTAAATCTTGTACTCTTCTCTTCTGATTCCCTAAAGGAATGAAGGAGGCAGTATATGTCAGGATGCTTTGAAGACTTAAAAGAGGCTAGAACTTGGGATGGAGGAATGACATGGTGGACAGGTTCAGAGGTTTGTCCCTGGTGTTGGACTGAGGTGAAGCGGTGCCCTCTCATCTTCGTTTCTTTTCTCCATAGACCAAGCTGAGGCAGAAACTGGCTATCATGTTCGGTCAGATCAACGGAGCATCAAAAGCGCTGGAGGATGTGAGAGCCAGACAGCATGACATGCGGGTGAGTGACAAGTTTTCCTGGGCCTGAGAAGACGATCTCAGCTCATGTTGGCCAAGCTGGTGTTGGGACCATTCCCAAGAGTCAGAATTCAATGCCAATTTTGCAAAATGTGCAAAAAGCTCCATGCCCAAGACTGAGGCTTTGCTCCATCAAATTGAAAACTCCCTGACAGCCTATCCTTGTGGGAATCATTAAAATGTTGGGCTTAAAAAAAGTAGTGATAGGAAAAATGGTTGTGATATAAAGCAGAAACAGAACAGGAAGCAAAAGTGTATACTTACTGGGGTTACAACAGTTTATAAAATGGAACTCTATTAGTCCCTTGGGCTTCTGTAACCACTGACCACAAACTGGGTGGCTTAAAACAACAGAAGGGCATTCGCTCACACTTCTGGCAGCCAGAAATCTGAAATCAAGGTGTTGGCAGGACCGCATTTCCTCCAAAGACTCTACAAGAGGATCGTTCCTTTCCTCTTCCAGCCTCTGGTGGCTCCAGGCATTCGTTGACTTGTGACAGCAGTATTCCAAAATCTCTGCCTGTCTTCACATGACCTTCTGTGCCTATGTCTTCTCCTCTTTGCCCTCTTATGAAGTTGCTTGCCATTCCTATGGGTAATCCAGAATGAGCACATCTCAAGGGCCTTAATTTAACACACCTGCAAAGAGCTTATTTGCTAAATAAGTTGATATTCAAAGATTCTAGAATGTGAATAATCATTCAAGCCACTACAAAGAATATCGGGGAAAAAGACAGAAAAAGATTTATTTAGTGACTATCAAACCCTATGGACCTGCAGTTCCCCATTTGGTGTGGTAGCTGTGGCTTGGATCTCTGGTATAGATTACCAGCTCTGTCCCAGATTAGCCTGTGGGACTTTGGTCACACTGGCAGATCTCTGAGCCTCCGTTTGCCGGTCTGCATAATGGAGTCATAACTCCTCTTTGGGGAGGTGACTGTGAGGCTTACCTGAAAGACCGCATATGAAAGTACCTGCAATGGTCCAGAGTCTGTGCCTGTCCTTATTATCACTCCATTGCTCCAACAGATCCTGTCCTTATCTCTCTGGTTGAAGCTGAGTCACCATTACATCTTTGTTCTAGCCTACAGCAGGAGGGGCAGGCAGGCACTGGAGGACCAGAAGCTCCCCCCCCCCCCCCCCCCCATTTTTTTTTAAAGCAATTTCCTATTTTTTACACACACACAAACATTTATTGACTTCCTAGGATTCCCTACTCACAGGGTGTTATTCTTGGGTGACATTTATTCAGTTCAGACTCATAGTAACCCGAAGCACAACGGAATGAAATATTGCTCAGTCCTGTGCCATCCTCAAAATTGTTGTTGTTTGAGCCCATTGTTATTGTCATTGTGCCAATCCATCTTTTTGTCCTTTATTGTGAATTTAAAGCAATTTCCTTTTAAGCAGAAACATGACGTTATACTTACCAGACTGTGTTTAGTCACATAACAGGACCTTAGTCAGATGGTCAAACCTCACTGCAGGGGAGGCTGGGAAATTTAGTTTGTAGCTGGGCAGCTACATTGTTATTGGTGGGTCCCAATGAGTCAATTCCAACAGATAGTGACCCCATGTGATCAAATACCCTTTAGGATTTTCTAGGCATTAATCTGTATGGAGGAGTCCTGGTGTGGTGCTGTGGGTTAATGCGCCAGACTGCAAAGCCGTTTGAACTGCAAGGTTGGCAGTTCAAACTCACCAGCTACTCCTTGGAAACCCTATACAGAGTTGCTATGGGTCGAAATCCACTCAATGGCACTTAAGAACAACAACAAATCTGTAGCAGATCACCAGGCCTTTCTCTCACAGAGCCCCTGGGTAGATTTGAACCACCAACCTTTTGGTTAGCAGCTGAGTGCTTAGCCATTGTACCACCAGGGCTCCATAGCCTGTCACTTACCCAGTTCAAACTCCCAGGGCATTTTCTTATTCAAAGGAAGAAGGGGAGAGTGAACATTGGTGATATTGGCCATCATATTGGAGGTGGCAGAATGGAAAAGCACTCGATACAGAAAGAGTTCAGTTCCTTGCACCCTGTAGACTACCTTCTTGGGTTTGTTTCTGTTTGTCATATTTGATTCTGAGCTCCTGAGGTCACCTGACATGTAACGTGAACTGCAGTCTAGAGCGCTGCTGGCCAACAAAAATACTACATGAGCCCCTTGTGCAATGTTCAGTGAACTTGAATAACACAAGATTTTAATTTTAAGAATACACTTTATTGAATTCAGAATATCCAAATATTATGTCAGCAAGTAATCAATCTTTACAAAGTGTTAATGAGCTATTTTGCATTATTATTATTATTATTTGTACTGAGTCTTCTAAAATCAGTGTTACGTATTATGTCCATTTACACATAATATAACCCAAACTCCATGAGGAATTTAGCTATAGTTCAAGTTTTAGTAGCTACATGTAGGGAGTGTTTATGGTATTAGACACCATAGTTCTAGACGATGATAGTCTCTAGAATTTTCTTAGAGCAGCATTATGCCCTTTCTTTAAAAAACACCACCTATGAACTGCCTTCCAACTTCAGAAATAAAATATCACTAATGCAGTGGAGCTCTGGTAGCATAGTGGTTACAAGTCAGGCTACTAACCTCAAGGTCAGCAGTTCGAAACTACCAGCCATTCCACAGCAGAAAAATGAGGCTTTCTTCTCCGGTAAAAATTTATAGCCTTAGAAACCCTGTACAAGATCGCTATGAGTCGGAACTGACTCCGCGGCACATAGCATTCACCAATGGAGCGAAGCCCCCTTTTTGCTTTGTTCTTATTATACCCCCTTTCCTCCCTACCAAATTTTCTTACTTATCTAATGGATGAATTTAACAAACAGAAATGTATTGTCTCATAGTTAGGAAGCTAGAAGTCTGACTTCAGAATTCCAGCACTAGGTAGACTCTTTTCTCCCGCTCTTGACTCTGGGGAAACCTCCTTGTCTCCTTTCAACATCTGTTAGTGTGGTGCTATAGAATACGCACTGGACTGTTAATCGAAAGGTTGGCACTTCAAGCCCTCCAGACACTCCTTGGAAACCCTATATAGGGTCACTTTGACGTGTAATTGAATTCACGGCACTTAACTAAAAAACATGAATAGTCTGCAATTTATGTATCCAATCTGCTATTGATGGATATTTTGGTTGTCTCTATGGGTTTACTATTTCAAACAATGTGTTTGTCTCAAGGGCAGGTGTCTGGGAATTTTCATTGTGTATATCCCTAAGATTGGACCGGGTCATAGGGTCTGAGCACCTTGAAATTTACTGTTGTGTGCTGCTGTTGAACTGGCCACTGACTCCTATAGTAACATGCACAATGAGCTGAGACCACTGTGATCCACTGGGCTTGCATTGGCTGCTTTTTGGAAGTAGATAACCAGACCTTTCTTCCTAGTTCATCTTAGATTGAAAACTCCACTGACACCTGCTCAGCATCACAGCCACACCTAAGCCTCCACTAATAGATGGGTGGTGGGTGCCCATGAGCCTCATTGGCTGAGGATCAAACCCAAGTTTCTAACGCTGAGCCGTCAGTGCCCCCTCAAATTTGCTAGATATTGCCAAATTGCCTCCCAAAGTGTTTTTACCACTTTGTATTGCTTATCAAAAGGAGCTCTGGTAGCGTATTAGTTACGAATTGGACTGCTAATCTCACAGTCAGCAGTTCGAAACTACCAGCTGTTCCGCGGGAGAAAGATGAGGCTTTCTGCTCCCATAAAGATTTACAGTTTGGGGAGAGGGTCGCTATGAGTCAGAACTGACTCCATGGCACATAACAACAACATTCTTATCAAGTACAAAATAGAGTTCCCTTGGCTCCTTGTCTTACCAACACTTGGTACTGCAAGTGTAGCCTTCAGCCAGTGTGATGATGCCCTCTTTTCTCATCTTGACCCTCTGTAGGAGATAGTGAACAGGAAGATTGATGTGATCCGACAAGAATACATGGAGGTGAAAGCTTTCATTGATGCCACAGAGGCCAATTCTATACGGAAGATAAAGGAAGAGGAGAAGAGGGTCAGCAATAAGTTTGACAACATTTTCCAGATCCTCCTCAAGAAGAAGAATGAGATCCAGACACTGAAGGAGGAGATCGAAGCTGCCCTGACTAAAGGAGACGAGTTTGAGTTTCTGGAGGTGGGTCTTAGTGAAGACAGTCAGTGTTGTTGAGTATGTCCTCTGCCTCGCATCATGAGTTTAATATAGGGAGTTGGGTCTGTACGAAGTCATTGGAAGCTGCCTCATCTCTAAGGTGCGTAACAACTTACCATTAATGTGGGGGCTTAAACCAGTGATCGTTTATTATCTCTCTGATCCTGTGGCTCAGGATTCTGGGTATGGCTTAGCGGGTTGTCTACCTAAGGTCTCATAGGGCTGCAATCTGGGTGTCGCCTGAACTAAGAACTTAGGCTCCTTTTCCAAGCTCATGAAACTGTTGGCAGAATTTAGTTTCTTGCAGTTGTAGATCTGAGGTTCTGCTTCTTGTTGAGAACTGAGGTTCTCAGCTCATGGAGGCCCTGCAACTCTTGCCACATGTCCCTCTCCTAAAGGAAAATTGTTCCCTTTGAGAAGGCTTAGACCCTCTCTTAAGTGAGGCCCACCCAGGATGCTCACCTTACTGATGAACTCAAAATCAGTTGATTTGACCTTAATCACACCTGCAAAATTCCTTCACCTAACCTAACCATGGGAGTGGTATTTCATTGTATTTATAGATAAAGGGGGATGTGTACCACTCACCTCTACCATCTTCTGCTTACTCTTCTTCCACTAATGTCTTTCTAAGGCATGGATTCCCTCTGCTACCCCTCGTCTGTTCTGATTTCTTGTTTCTTAGCATGACCCACAAGAACCTTGGGGACTGGGCCAACTTTGCCAACAGTTTCATCTCTTGCCACCCAGCCCAGCAAAGGACTCATCATTCTGCACACACTGGGCATTGGTTGGGAATGCTGTTCTTTCTCCACATAGGGAATTCGTGTCCTTCTTCCCAAGCCAGCTCCAATGACAGTTTCCTGTTTCCCATTATACCATTAGTGGTGTCTCTGAGCATGCTACACAGTTTCCACTGTGGCATTCACGATGGTACTTATTTTCTTGTCTGTTTTGACTGTCAGTTCCTTTTGGGTGGAGACTAGGATCTTGGTGTGGCGCTGTGGGATAAAGCACTGGATCACAAGGTCGGCAGTTCAAACTCACCAGCCGCTCCTTGAAAACCCTATACAGGATCACTGTGAGTCGGAACCGACTCAACAGCATTTAACGACAGCAACAACAACATGCCTAGTGTGGTGATGTAGGATAAGCACTGGACTGCAAACCACAAGGTCAGTGGTTCAAACCCACCAGTCCCTCCTTGGAAACCCTATACATGGTCGCTATGATGAGTCAGAATTGACTTGAAGGCATTGAACAACAACCCCTTGTTGCTACCGTTTTCCTTCTTGCTAATTTGGTATCTGGCATGCAGGGAGTGTCTGATGAAGCCTATTGATGGAGTCCCCTGCTACTGTACCTCAAAGGCACAGTTTCTTTGCTCAGGTCCTGGGGAGAGTCCTAGAGGGACTGGGAACCTTCTCTTTCCCGTGCACTGGCTTCTTATCTGCCTAGCCTGGATGCCAGGAAGTTTTATCCCAAGTACTCATTCCTGTTTGTTGAACTAGCTGCCTTGAACTCTCTGGGAGGATTCTGAGTCCACATCCGGGTCTCTCTCTCTTTTTTTTTTTTTAATTAATTTTTTATTTTTAAAAATGTTTTATTGTGAATTATGTGATAGTTTACATGGGAGAATATTAGTTTTACATTCATCCTATCTTATATCGTTTCATTGTTATGGTTACAATCCTCTCCATGCATCATCAACCAACCAAAGGGTATGCACTACAAGCCTACCCCCCAGTACTCAGCACACAGCCCCTCTCCCTCTCTGTGTCTAAAATCCCCAGTTGCTCCATCTCTCCACGTCATCATCTCTGCCTCAATCTCAGGCATCACTGCTTCTTTGGGTAGGGTCCTGCTCTCGGCTCTTCTCCCTTGCACGTCTGGGTCTCTTGATATGCTTTGATGTAGTCTCCAAGTTTGAGACCAACTTCAAGACCCTCCCATACCATAGGATGTGTCCTGACTCAGTCCTGTATCCCTTTAGGGCCCCTGTCTGTCACCAGAACAAATATTTAGAGCTCTTCCTTGAGAGGTGGAGATGTACTTAGTCTCCTGTACTTTCCCAATCATAACTGGTGGAATGGAAAGAGCATCATTGTGGGTTTGGGAGACCTGCATCCCAAAGTCATCTTTGCCACTAATTGGCAGAGTTCTTTGCAGGCTACTTGTCATCTTTAAGCCTCAGCTTCCCCTTCCAGCTCCAGATCACTGTATTTTCAAGTGGTGCTTTAAACCCTGGTGACCTCTAGCCTTTCATATGAGAAGGTGATTGGACTTAGCACCCAATGACACAGGGAGACTTCTCCCTGGGTTCATGAGCCCAAGTCCTGGCTTCACAAGAGCTGCCTGTACTATTTGTTGTTCCAGAGAGCCTCAAAAGTTCAAGGGATCTCAACGAAGCCAGTCTACGTACCCAAGGTTGAGCTGAACCACGAGCTGATGAAGAGTGTCTATCAGGACACCGTAGACCTAAAAACTGAACTGAAGCAGCACGTCAGGCAGTCCCAGGAGAAGAAGCCTGAGGACTTCTCTAGTACAGGTGACCCTTGGCAACCCCCATGCTTCCCCGCTAGGGTTCTGGGAGCTGGATGGGTCCCTCAGTTTTCTTGAGGGAGGAATGGGGCAGAAGAGGGGGTATGCTAGGGATCCTGGGGGCCTGGCTTTCAAGGGCCCTGGGACATCCACCCTTCATTGGAGGTATTGGGGAGTCTTTGGCTCATCTTGACTTTAGAGTCGTCGCTAGAACATTTCAGGGGACTTGTGGTGATGGGTCTTTCAGGACAAGTTCTTAGGAGTGTGAGGTAGGCTGTGATGAGTTTTCAATAGAATTCAAGTTGTCAGTGTGTTTGGTGGGGAAATGACTAATTTTGGGTTGAGAGAGACCTGGAAATCCTTGGTGACACCCCTTTGCTTTTTTTTTTCATATATATATAATTTTCTATTTATTTTCTTGCAGGGTAGTTTTTCTTCAGCCTTTAAGGGCTCAATTCTTTACATGGGCTTTGGTGGCAGCCGTGGGGCAGCACCTGCAGGTCTAAGTCGGGGTGGGGGTGTTGGTCCTTCCGAGCTTCACGAGAACAGTTCCTGAGCACCTTGCTGTGAATGGCGGAGCTCACACAATAATGGAGTTTCACGTACAGCTTGGGAAGCTCATATGCATCGAAGGCACTCACTTTGGAAATATCCCTGACGGCTGCGGCCTCTGCTGTGTCTCGAATTACGAACTTCTTAATGGCCTTGTCTTTGGGCATGCATGGGCGCAGTTCGTGCAGCAAATAGGGTGCACGTGGCTGCAGCCCTTTGTGGCACGACCGTCATTTCTGTTTTCTTTGTCATCTTGGAAGCGAGGACCAGAGAGACACACAGAGAGAGAGGCCCCCTTTGCTTCTCCACAAATCCATTCCATCCTTGGAGTTTGCTTCTGAAACACCTCCTGACCCAATCCATTAGTTCTCAACCCAGCTGCCACCACCAGCCTATTCACAGTTAGCATTCAACTATGCCCACGACTGTGGCAACTTCCTGAATGTTCCCTCGGCATCTCCTCTTGCTGCAGTCAAAGAGCTTTTTTTGGAGGCCAATCTGATCTCCGGGGTCTGTTTCCCCTTCACAGCTCCTCCCTGCATCAGATTCTTGAGTCTGGCTTACAAGTTCCAAGGTGTTTCCTCACCTCTCTGTATTCAGTTCCTCAAATATGTCACAGGAATTTTTCATGCCCTCTTCCTTGGAGTCCTGGTGTGGCACTGTGGGTTAAGCACCAGACTGCAAAACCATGTGAACCGCAAGGTTGGTGGTTCAAGCTCACCAGCTGCTCCTTGGAAACCCTATACAGTGTCGCTGTGGGTCAGAACCGACTTGATGGCACTTAACAACAACTTCCTTGAGTGGTTGTGTGGCACTTAAGGCTAATGCATCAGACTGCAAAGTCATTTGAACTATAAAGTCAGTGATTCAGGCTCACCAGCTGCTCCTTGGAAACCCTATACAGGGTTGCTATGGGTTGGAATCGAATCAACGGCACTTAACAACAACAACAACTTCCATCTCCACCATTAACACCCGTCGAAGTTCAGCTGAAACGTTTCATTTCTCTGAAAGCCTCCCCTGTGTCTCCTCTGAGTTCTTATCCCTCTAGGGCCTTTTGTATACCTGCCATTTGGCGTGACTTTGAAACTCTTGTCTGTTTCTCGCAGCAGATTAAGGCAGCCTTTGTGTTTCTCATCTATATGTCTCCCTAGTGCTTGGCATAGAGCCTGGCACATGGAAACTATCTGTTGTGTAATTTGTGGAGTAGGCTTGAGTTTCTCCTTGGCAAAACAAGCATCCTTTCAGAAAATGCCTCTGGACCAGTTGTAGCAGGGCACGGCAGCACTGTGCTCCACATGTGAAAGTGCTTTGCAGAGGGTAAAGCTGTGCATAAATTGGCTACACATGTATTGCGCCCTCTACCACTCAGCTGTCAGTCGTACTGCAGTGGCTTGTGTGATGCTGGAAACTATGCCACTGGTATTTGAAATACCAGTGTGGGAGCCCATGGTGGACAGGTGTCATTGGTGCTTATAGACTAGGACTAGGAATAAGGAGAGGCGGACCACTTCTGGAAGGTTGGCCACTAAAAGCCGTATGACTATCAGTGGAACATTGTTTAACAGAGTGCTGGAAGACAATAAGCCCCTCAGGTTGGAAGGCACTCAAAATACAACCGGGGAAGGGCTGCCACCTCAAAGTAGAGTTGCCCTTAATGACATGGATGGAGCAAAGTTTTATGGAGCTCAGATCAAAATGAGATGAAACTGATGCAAACAATAATCAAAACATGGAATGTATGAAGTATGAGTCTAGGAAAATTGGAAGATGCCAGAAATGAAATGGAATACATAAATGTCAATATCCTAGGCATTAGTGAGCTGAAATGGACAAGTATTGGCTATTTTAAATCGTACAATCATATGATTTACTATGCTGGAAATGACAAATTCGAGAGGAATGGCATCACATTCGTCATCTAAAAGAACATTTCAGGATCTACCTTGAAGTACAGCGCTGTCTGTGATAGGACAATATCTGTACTGGTGTGGCACTGTAGGATAAGTGCTCGGCCCCAAGGTCTGTTTGACCACATGGTTGGTGGTTCAGTCTCACCAGATGCTCCTCGGAAACCCCATACAGGGTTGCTATGAGTCAGAACTGACTTGACGGCATTTCATAATAACAACACAAGGAAGACCAGTTAATATCACTGTTATTCAAATTTTTGTACCAACCACTAAAGCCAGTGATGATGAAATAAGACTACTACTGACTTCTTTGGTCTGAAATTGGTGAAACATGCAATCAAGATGTATTGACAATTACTGGTGATTGGAGTGTGAAAGTTGGAAAAAAGCAAGGAATGATCCATAGTTGGAAAATATGGCTTTGGTGGTAGAAATGATACAGGAGATTATATAATAGAATTTTGCAAGACCAATGAGATATTCATTACAAATGCTTTTTTCAACAACATAAACAGAGACTATATGCATGAACCTCACCAGATGGAATCAGATGGACTAGGTCTGTGTGAAAAGATAGTGGAAAAGCTCCATGTCAGCAGCAAAAACCGGGCCAAAGGCAGACTGTGAAACAGACCATCATATGCAAGTTCAGACTGAAGCTGAAGAGAATTAGAACAAGTCCACAAGAATCAAAATACAACTTTTGAGTGTATCCCATCTGAAGGAGCTCTGGTAGCATAGTGGTTACGACTTGGGCTGCAACCTCAAGGTCATCAGTTCAAAACTACAGCTGTTCCATGGGAGAAAGATGAGGCTTTCTGCTCCTGTAAAGATTTACAGCCTTGGAACCCTATATAGGGTCACTGTGAGTCGGAACCGACTCCATGGCACACCAGTACCACCACCATATCCCATCTGAATTTTGACACCATCTCAAGAACAGATTTGATGCGTTAAACACTAATGACTGAAGACCAGAGGAGTTGTGGGATGACATCAAGGACATCATATATGAAGAAAACAACATGTCATTAGAAAGACAAGAAAGAAAGAAAAAAACAAAACGGATGTCAGAAGAGACTGAAATTTGCTCATGAATGTAGAGAAGCTAAAGCAACTAGAGAAATAAGGAAGTGAAAGAGCTGAACAGAACATTTCTGAGAGCAGCTCCAGAAGACAAGGTCAAGTATTATAATGAAATGAGCAAAGACCTGGAGTTAGAAAACCAAAAGGGAAGAACACACTCAGCATTTCTCAAACGGGGAGAACTGAAGACAAAATTCAAGCCCCGGTGCAATATTGAAGGATTCTATGGGCACAATCCTGGCAGCATAGTGGTTATGTGCTGGGCTGCTAATCACGTAGTCAGCTATTAGAATCTACCATCTCCTCAACGGAGGAAAGATGAGACTTCATGCCCACATAAAGATTTGCTGCCTCAGAAATCCTACACAGGGTTGCTATGAGTTGGAACCGACTGAATAGCATATCACCACCACCATCACCATGGACCCAATAGAGTTTCAGTAAAGTGCTGTAGGATCAGCACTACACACTAACTACAAGGTTGGCAGTTCAAACCCATCAGCCGCTCCTCAGAAACCCTATACAGTGTTGCTATGGGTCGGAACCAACTTGACGGCACTTACCAACATTAGCACAATATTGAATGATGTAGGAAACATTACAAGAAGATGGAAGGAATACACAGAATCACTGAACCAAAAGAATTGGTTGATGGTCAACCATTTCAAGAGGAAGACACGATCAAGAATCAATGGTACTGAAGGAAGAAGTCCAAGCTTCACTAAAGGCTGTGGTGAAAAAACAAGGCTCCAAGAATTGATGGAATACAATTTGAAATGCTTCAACAAAATAATGTAGTGCAGGAGTTGCTCACTCATGTATGCCAAGAAATTTGAAGACAGTTCCCTGGCCAACTGATTGGAAGAGATCCATAATTCTGTCCATTTTAAAGAAAAGTGGCCCAACTGAATGCAGAAATCATTGAACAATATCATTGGTAACACATGCAAGTAAAAATTTGCTGAAAAACCATTGCAACAGTACGTCGACAGGTTGCTGCCAGAAATTCAAGTCAGATTCAGAAAAGGACATGGAATGAGGGATGTTATGCTGATGTCAGATGGATCTTGGATAAAAGCAGAAAGGATACCAGAAAGATGTTTACTTGTGTTTTATTGAGTATGCAAAGATTTCTGACTGTTTGGATCATTTAAAAAAAACTATGAAAAGCATTGTGAGGAATGGGAATTCCAGAATACTTCCTCATGCTTGTGAAGAGCCTGTACGTAGACCAAGAGGTAGTAGTAAAAGTTAGAACATAGCAATGGGATACTTTCTGGCTCAAAATCAGGAAATGTGTGCATCAGGATTTATCCTACCATACTTATTCAATCTGTATGCTAAACAAATAATTCTAGAAACTGACTTATATGAAGATGAATGTGGCATCAGGATTTCAGGAAGAATCATTAACAGCCCGTGATATGCAAGTTGATATAGCCTTGTTTGCTGTAAGTGAAGAGCATTTGAAATACTTAAGATCAAAGGCCACAGTCTTCAGTGTGGTTTGTAGTTCAATGTAAAGAAAATGAAAATCCTCACAAATTTGACCAAATAATAACATCATGTTAAATGGAGAAAAGATTGAAGTTTTTAAAGACTTCATTTTGTTTGGATCCCTAATCAATGCTCACGAAAGCAGTTGTCAAGAAATCAGATGATGCATATTGCCTTAGCAAATCTGCTGCTGCTACAAAAAAATACTCTTTAAAGTGTTGACGGGCAGCAAATATTCCACTTTGAGGACTAAAGAGCATCTAACTCAAGCCATGATATTTTCAATGCATGTGAAAGTTGGACTATGAATAAGGAAGACTGTAGAAAAATCAATGCATTTGAATTATAGTGTTGGTGAAGAATATTGAAAGTATCATGGACTGCCAGAAGAACAAATACATTTGTCTTGTAGTACAACCAGAATGCTCTTTAGAAGCAAGGATGTTGAGACTTTGTCTCACCTGCTTCGGACATGTCGTCAAGAGGGACCAATTCCTGGAGAAAGACACCAGGCTTGGTAAAGTGGAGGGTCAGTGAAAAAGAGGAAAACCCTTAACAAGATGGATTGACACAGTGGCTGCAAGAATGGACTCAAACATAACAACTATGAGGATGACAGAGGTCCAGGCAGTGTTTCATTGTGTTGCACATAGGGTTGTTATGAGTCGGAACCAACTCAATGGCACTTAACAACAGCAACAACGTATTTTGTCCTGCTGTGTTGTCGGTGATCCATGGTCTGGGGAAGGAGAAGGGAGAGAGAGAACAGTAGGAAAGAAATTAATGTTGATGGAATAAACAGGTTACTTGGTCTCATTTGGTGGCCATATCAGCCACGAGCAGGGTGGAATCATCCCTGTGTGCGCTTGGGAGAAACTGAGCTCAAGTCACCGTGCTGGGTAGTGATGGAGAAGAGACTTGATCCAGCTACATTCTGTGCTAGAGAAGAGAGGGAGCTCACCAAACTGGCCTTTCTATTGCCCTCTTGTAGTTCTTGTAAATGACAGCTTGGGGAGACCAGCAGAAACGACTGTCTTATAATTATAAGACAGTCTTGGCAAAGTTGGCTGCCCACTCTTGGCAAAGTTGGCTGTTAGGGTTGGTGGTGGAAAAGCTGCCTAAATAAATTTTAAAATAGCCTTTTTCTTCGGCACAGGTGACCCTGGAGAGCATGCCCCAAACGTCAAGCCTAAGATGAAGAAGGCTCCAAGTAAGTAATCCTACCACTGTCTCCATGGCAGCAGCCCAGCTGTGTCTGGCACATGCTTGAATGAGATACTAACAGGTGTCCTTGCTCCTTCCAGGGGTGCAGGGGTGGGGCTAACCCATCCTAGGATACTGCCTCAGCTTGAGTGTCACCTGGAGGAAAATTGGCTATAGATCCCAGAGTGTGGAAGTTGCAGAGGTTCCTCTGGGGCACTTAGGAGGGCTTGCCTTGGCATGTCTGGACTGTCTGGCACAGTTGAACCACCAACTTTTTTACTTATTTCCAGAACCAAGTCCTGGGACTTGTGCAGAGCCCCTTCGAGGTGGTTGATGGTGGTCCGTGATAAACAGAAGTCAAAGCTGGTCAGCAGCTCAGTGCTGTTGGCTTTAAGTTGTAATGTGCTTATGCTATTGCCGTGTTTATCAGCCTTTGTTTTGTTATCACTCTTCTTACTTTTGTAGACAATTTTTTTTCCCAATCACCTTCCCCAACAAGTTTAATGCCACAGATACACCATATAAGTGTACGTGTATGTCAAAAAGAGTTAAATTTTAGGGTTTCCCTAAAATGTAATTATGATTCCAAGGAGTGACTCTTACGCATCCTGGGTAATTGAGGTGGATGAGAGGACTCTAAGTTTTATTTGTTTTCAGTGTCAGGGTTGTCTTTAGCAGACAGATGTGTGGTATCAATCCCTGACTGGACTCCTTTCAGGGACTAGGGCACAGATGGAGGAAGGAGCACCCTCAGCTAAGTTAGAAAATATCCAGGGATGTTTTGAGTAAAAAGGAAGTGAAAGAGAAGGTGGAAAAATGCTGTAAATTTGCATCATGCTCAAGGGATAAAGCAGTTGCTGTGAAATCGGTGCTGCTTTGCTACGACTCCATGTCCGAGTAGAACTGTGCTCCACATGGTTTCCAGTGGTTGATGTTTTAGAAGTTGTGCTTCTTCTAACGTACCTGTGGATGTATGCCAACCTTGCAGTTAGTAGTCAAGAACTTAACCATTCATTCAACCTAAGAACTCCTCTCAAGGGATACTTCCCCTGATCGCCTTCCCACTACTGCCCAAAGTCACAAGCATTCTTCCTGGGAAGGAGCAGTGAATGGTGAGCCATCAGGAGGTCCACTCCTTAGCTAAGTAATGCCCTCCTGCCTCAACTCCATGTTTTGGGCCTGTTTATGGTCACAGGCCTTGGAAATAATTAGAACCAGGACTAAAGTGTACCGGACCCAAGCTATGGTATTTTCAATATCCTCATATGCATGTGAAAATTGGACAGTAAATAAGAAAGATGGTAGTAGTGTAGAAGAATCAGTGTATTTGAATTATGGTGTGAGTGAAAAAGTGGAAAGTACCATGACTGCCAGAAGAACAAACAAGTCTGTGTCAGAAGAAGGACAGCCAGAATGCTCCTGAGAAGTGAGGAAGGCGAGACTTTGTCTTGTATACTTTGGCTATGTTATTTGGAGGGGCCAGTCCCTGGAAAAGGACGTCTTGCTTGGAAAAGTGGAAGGTTAGCAAAAAAGAGGAATCCCCTCAATGAGATGGATTGACACAGTGTCAGCAACAATGGGCTATGACATAACAACAGTTGTGAGGATGTGCAGGACTGGGCAGTGTTTTGTTGTTGTGCAGAGGGTGACTATGAGTGGGAACTAACTCGATGGCACCTGGCAAAACAACATGTATTGAAAGTTGATAGATAGGAAAACCGTGAGTTAAGCTCAGGAATGAATTGAAAGTGACTCAACATAAGAAGACTGAGATGGGAACTGGATAAGGAGGACGTGGGCCAGTCCTAGTGTAGCTGTAACATTTAAGAGCTGTGGGAGCCAGGGAGGCTGCCTGTGCCCTATGCCAGCATCACAGTCTGTGACTCTCTGGGCAGATGGGAGTGGGCAGAGAGTGAAGACAACTCCTGAGGGAGTTTAGCTGTGGAGCGGGAGGAAGGAGTCACTTGGGGAGCATGTAGGGCCAAGAGAGGATCCAGTAGAGAAGGTGAAGCTAGTAAGAGAGAGCAGGGCATGGGTCCAAAATATCCCCTTTTCATTCTGATACAAACTTGAATGTATATCAGAGTTACCCTGGGAGGACACTGACCCTACCACCAGAGTGTCTGACTCAGATCAGAAGGTATGGGGTGGAGGGGAACCACAAGATTTGCATTTCTCAGAGTTTCCCATGGGATGCTGCTGCCGCTAGCTTGAGACCACCTTTTTTTTTTTTCCCCTAAGTTTTTATTGTGAATTGAGTGTTAGTTTACATGGGGGAACATCAGTTTTGTTTTGTTTTTCAATGTTTTATTGTGAATTATGTGATAGTTTACATGGGAGAACATTAGTTTTACATTCATCCTATCGTATATTGTTTCATTGCCATGGGTACAATCCCCTCCATGCATCATCAACCAACCAAAGGGTATACACTACAAGCCTACCCCCGGTTGTCAGCACACAGCCCCTCTCCCTCTCTGTGTCTAAAGTCCCCAGCTGCTCCATCTCTCCACATCATTGTCTCTGCCTCCATCTCAGGCATCATTGCTTTCTCTGGGTAGTGTCCTGCTCTCTGCTCCTCTCTCTTGATGGTCCCAGGAACTTCTGCTCCTAGGCTGAAAAGTTAATCACTCCCCTCCTTGCTACAAAATGTTTACTTTTATTCCAACCCTCACAAGCAGTCCTGATGATAATTATTCACTATTGTATCACAAGAGACCCATCCGCATTTCATTTCATCAGCCCTGTGTAGACAGATTGGATATTACTCAGTGGAGATTCTACCTTCCTTCACGTTGGGACCACACTTTGAAAAGCACCGTTGTAGTAAATTCAGTTCCCCAAGACTCTCATTTTGGATATTTTTACAGAACATTATTTGCTGACTCTACTTTTTGTTTTTGTTTTTGAAACTATAACTCACTTACAGTAAAAGATCTTAAATATACACTGAGAGAAATTTTATCAAAGTGTCTGCACATGTTACCATTGCCCAGAAAATTCCCTGAGGCTCCTTACCAGCTAGCCCCTCCCCCATAACCACTGATCTGATATCTGTTAGCATAGATTCATTTTGCCTATTGACGCCTTCCTTCTAATTTCAGATTAAAAAACCTCAACTTTATTTGGGCCATCAGACTCATACAAGTGGATATTATGGTATTTTGAAAAGTGCCCTTGTCTTGTAGTTTTCAGCTCTTCTAATTCTGAAAACTTTCTTTTTCAGAGGATGAAAAGAAACCCAAGAAACCCAGTAAGTTGCACATTTCTACATCTTTTTGTTTCTCTAGAACAGCCAAGCACAGAAGGAAATGCTGTCAGCAATAGTCAATCTGTCTTACCAGAGTTTTCTGGTAGGGTGATCTGTAAGGACAGGCAGGCCTGAGGTTGGAAGTATCAATGAATAAGATGACAGTAGCCCTACCTAGAGTAACCTGGGTGGCCTTGGCTACTCAGGTATGTTTGTGGACGTGGTTCTTGGAAATCAGCTTTGAAAGGAATCAAGGGTACTGAGTTATTCTGTGTCATGGTGTAAACTCACTTTACTCCTCCCTCCTCCAGTGGCTGCCTTTGCCTCGCCAAAGCCAAACAAGACTCCTGCCGTCAAACCACCAGAACCAGCTGGTCAAGAGGGTGAGTTCTTGTGGGCAAGAGGCAGAGGGGTTCCTACTCTGAGTTTATTCTGAAAACTCTTATTTCCTCTCCCCATTGTAGCCAAAGCTGCTGTCCCACAAGTGAATGCAATTTTCAAGGCCAAGGCACTGGAGGTCTTCTTAACCAAGTCCAGATCGGAGCTTCTAGAGTGTGAGTTGCTAGCTCTGCCTGGCTCCTTGCCCTTGACTCTGTCCACAGGTCCTGCTGGCTTCTGTGCTCAGCTACTCCCTTCAACTGCCCTCTACTTTGGTGCTTTCTTTTTTCATCAGTATTTGCCTTTCTTCACCTCCCTTCCTAGCCAGTTTAGACTTTCAAACAGTTCTTAGAATACCCCTCTTGCTGCCTAATCTGAATAACCCTCAGCCCTGGCTGATCCCAACACATCCCTTCTCTGGCCTGCACTGGTCTTCTGGGCTACACATTCCATAAGACCAGGCCCCAGGTCTTTCTGGCTTGTGGTTGTGTATCTTGCGCAGAATCCAGCATGAATCAGATGTTCAGGACATGGTTTTGGGTGGGTGAATGGACAGATGGATGACTGATAGATGAACAAGGGACTACCATGATGAATAGCTAAATGGACACATGTCTGGCAGGTTAATAGACTGAATGGATGGATAATGGATGAGTATTTGGATGGTGGGTGGATGCAATAAATGAACAGATAGTACTCATTGGGGAAAGGCTTAAAAGAGAGAGTACTTAGATCTTTTAATAACTCCTTTCTTAGATGCTGCTAAAGTCATTCTGGACTTCAACAGTGCCCACAATAAGGTGATTCTGTCAGAGAACTACACCACAGCTTCCGTGGCTGAGACCCCGAATAGCTACCGGCCACATCCTCAGAGGTTCACATACTGCTCGCAGGTGCTGGGCCTAAACTGCTACAAGAGAGGAGTCCACTACTGGGAGGTGGAGCTACAGAAGAACAACTTTTGCGGGGTGGGCATCTGTTATGGCACCATGGATCGGCAGGGCCCCGAGAGCCGGCTTGGCCGTAACAGCACTTCTTGGTGTGTGGAGTGGTTCAACACCAAGATCTCGGCCTGGCATAACAATGTGGAGAAAACCCTGCCTACCACCAAGGCCACGAAGATTGGCATCCTTCTCAACTGTGACTTTGGCTTTGTTATCTTCTTCGCTGTCTCCGACAAGATCCACCTGCTATACAAGTATAAGGTGGACTTTACTGAAGCTCTGTATCCAGCCTTCTGGCTGTTCTCTGTGGGGGCCACACTCTCCATCTGCCCCCTCGAGTAGGCAGGCCATGGGACATTCCTTCCAACTGCCTCTGGAGTGTTCCCAAGACTTAGAGAAAATGGAAGCCTCCTTGGAGAGTGTTGGAAGAAGAAGAAGATGAGGAGATGGGATCAAGGGAGGGATCTGGCCAGAATAGGGGTGGGTGTGATTTTTGTGTGTGTGTAGGAGAGGAAACATTTCTGACCTCCTGTTGTGTTGGTAGCCTCAGGGCAAGGTTGGACTGATAACTCTCCAGTCTGAATAGGGCTTTGCAGAGTAAAGCCATCAATCAAGGCTCCTTTCCTCCTTGGAGAACATCTACTGCCAGTCACCACAGGCTCTTTCTCAGACCACTTGATCCATGCTCCTTTGTTCTCTAGGATAGCTTTCAGATCTTGGTTTTTTGATTACCCTTTACAGGGTTAGTTAACTAACTCTATAGATCTATTTGAAAATCCCAAGTCACTGAATTTTGATAAGATCCACCTTCCTACTACCACACGTTGGAGTTGGGGTGAATACTGGGTGTCTTCTCTTATTCTCTGTGATCAAGGGAAGCTGTCCAACGGGTCTCCACCCTGAGCCAGAGCTTCTGAGATAAACATGTCCTTCATTTCCACTGGAAAACAGCCCTGCTTCCTTGCTTATCCTCAGCCTGTCGCCCCTTCTGTCGAGTTTAACTGTGTAATCTGAAAGGAACCTTTCAGTCTAAGACTTGAAACCAGCAACTGAATTGGCCTGCATGGACTTGGCGTATGATTCAAGGTCAAAGTGATCCAGGCCTTGCTGTAGCCAGAACTCCCACCTCTCACTCCCAAGTACAAAAGGCATCTCAACAGGGTGCTTTGGCTATGGCTACAAATCCTTGGTGGTGGTCTTTCAGCCCATAGCCTACGTTAAAGGGGCAAAGAACACTAACCAACAAGAGCAAACATTGCTTCTACCCTGAGCCTGGTTAACAAAAGTGTGGTGTGTTTGCTCTTTTGGATCATTTTGCCTTCTTACCAATAACCTACCCTCCAGGATTATGAACCATTGGTTGGATTGACAGATGTTGCTACTACTGTGGCTAACACAGTCAAGCAGACAAGCTAGTCATGATACATAAGTTCTCCTATCTTGGCGTGGTGCTGTGGGCTAATGTGTCAGACTGCAAAGTCGTTTCAACTGCAAGGTTGGTGGTTCAAGCTCACCAGCTGCTCCTTGGAAACCCTATACAGGGTCTCTGTGGGTCAGAATCGACTCAACAGCACTTAACAACAACAACAGCAACATCCTTGTGTGGCGCTGGACTGCTAACGGCAAGGTTGGTGGTTCAAACCTACCCTATAAAGGGTCGCTATAAGTCAGAATTGACTTGGCGGCACATAACAACAACAATCATACAGACGAGAGTGTGGCTGTTAAAGGGACCATACTAGGTCACCTACTGGGGGTGCCAAGCCATGGCCAAAAGGGATTTACAGCAGGCCCTGTGGAAAACAGCAGCATTCCTGCTTGTCCCTGGCCACAGGCTGCTGACCCAATGCTGGTCCCTGCTTGGTGTCAGAGACCTGTCTGTCACTGGCTGTATTCTCATGCTCCGTCTCCCATGTTTGATCCAATTCCAGATGTGCAGATCAGTCAAGCTGCAGGTCAGAAGGGCTTTAAGTATCAAGGAAGGGACAAGCTGAAGCAGAGGTGGGAACGTCGTGCCCATGGACCTTAATAAGGCCTGTGAAATCATTTGTTCTGGCCCTGCCCCCACAGTGCCAGCCATCACATTAGGGATGAGTTAATTCAATGTTTGACCAAAAAAAGGTTACTTTTTAAGCTGATAATTTTGTATGGTCCCGGGATGATGTTATAAATTTTGACAAAACAAGTTCTCCCCTCCCTGCCCAGCCCCGCTAAAGAGATCAGATGAGGGGCTGTAGTGTTTCTGTGCAGTGAAGATAACCACAGTCCACTAGCAGGAGCTGAGTGGACGGCAGGAATTCCCCCAGATCCTTAGATCCTGATGTTGTCAGGAGGTAAGTTCTCATCCCCAAAGTAGGAGGAATTTAACCTCTTGTTGGGGAATGAACTTGGATCAGACTCCTTGTAGTATGAAAAGAGAGGTTACCATTGGGGACGTAGGGACCCGCAAGACCCTGTCATACAGATATTTGAGGATTTAACACATCACAAGCTCTGTGCTAGTATTCCAAGGCACTCTGGCCAGGCTCTGTGTTGATTGGTCTTCTCCCAATAAGGATTTTCAATTCCTTGAGAGAGTGCCTTTGTAGAGAAGACAGGCTCCGCAATAGCAGCTGTGTGATTGCCAAACATTTTTTTCCTTTGCTGGTGGCAAGAAAAGTTCTTTGGTGATTCTTCTCTGCCATGAAAGGCAGTTTCTCTGCTGCTCTTCTGAAACCAATTCAGGCTTGTCTGAAGTTGGGCTTAGAGGGTGAGAATGCCAAAAGTGAACCCCATGGTTCTGCTGTGGCTCTCTTCTGCAGAAATGAGGACCAACAGGGCTCATCCTTGGAAGCATTCAGCTCACGGTAGAAAAGCATGAGTCTCGCTGCTTATAAGCAGCCAGCAGGTAGCCAAAGCAGAGCTCTGTGCAAGGTGGTCTGACGGGAGATGGAGGAGGATCCCTTGCTGTTTTGAAACCATTTTTTCTGTAACGGTCAGTCCTCACAGTACCTTGCCTTGCAGGCCATTGCACACCTCTAGAGTCCTAGAGTTGGAGGAATCTTTGCTTTCGTCTAACTTCATAGAGGATGACCCCACTCACTAACCTTGCCATCCATGGAGGTGATGCCTCCCAGGGCCTGCAGGGAAAATCCTGCTACTAGAGTCCTGGTGTGGCACTGTGGATGAACGCACTGGACTGCAAAGTTGGTTTGAACCGTAAGGTTGGCAGTTCAAACTCAACAGCCACTCCTTGGAAACCCTATATAGGGTCATTATAGGTCAGAACCAACTCTACAGCACTTAACAACAACAACAGAGTTCTGGTGTGGTGCTGTGGGTTAATGCGCTGGACTGCAAAGTTGCTTTGAACTGCAAGTTGGCGGTTCAAGCCCACCAGCTGCTCCTCCGAAACCCTATGCAGGGTTGCTATGGGTTGCAATCAACTCAATGGCATTTAACAACAACAAGGGATATGTCAGAAAGTCCCAGAAACACAAACATAAAGATGCTAACCCCAGGTCCAGTCACTCTGGCATAATAAACTCAAGGTCAAGGACAAGTTTTTATGTTATTCATGGTTGGCAGGTCATTTTCCATGGTTTAATTACTCTGAAATGGATCTCTGATTGATTAATAATACTGCCTCTGTTTGAGCTGTTGTTTCTTGAACTTATTTTTTAGAGTTGGTTTTTAAAAATAATTTTTGTTTTTAGGTGAACGTTTACCAAGAAAATTAGTTTCCCATTTGATAATGTGTGCATAAAGTGTCTCTTGACATTGACTGCGGGTTGGCGGCTCTCCCCAGTTCTGCCTGGGGCTTCCTGTTTCCTTCCATGTGAATATTCTACCCTTTCCTGCCTTCTCATCTTTGCTTTTGGGCAGACTTTGACCTTTTGGTCTCATATATAATTGATTGTTCTAAGGAACATGTTCCTCTTAGGCAGTTTTGTTTATTTTATGGGCTCGTCTATTGTTTACCTGAACGGGGTTCTCTAGGAATGGGCTCAGTTTCATGTCAGAAGATAATGTAAGATCATAGTCTTGGGAGTTCCTCCAGTTTCTGTCAAACCAGTAAATGTGGTCTTCTGTCGACTTGATTTTTTGTTTGACATTTTCTTCCTCCTCTGTCCAAGCGCCTCTATTGTGATCCCTGTCAAGAGTGATGATCGGTAATGATAGCTGGACATCACCAGTTCTGGTATTGGAGTTGTGTAGACTATGGTTCTTGTGGTCAGTTAGTCTTTCAGACTAATTGCTCACTTGAATCTTTGGGATTTTTTTTAACACTACTTTGTTCTGGTTGGGAAGATAGCAATAGTTGTATTTTAGAAGACCCCCAGCGAGATGGATTGGCAAAGTGGCAGCATTAATAGACTCAAGGGTGGCAACAATTATGAGATTGGACCAAGATCGGGCAGTGTTTTGTTCTGTTGTGCATAGGGTCACTATGAGGCGGTACTGACTTGATGAAACCTAACGACAAGATGACTGTTTGTAAACTTTTAAGACCCTAGATGCTATTCACCAAAGTAGGATGGCAGAGCATTGTTTTTATGAACTATGTTGTGCCAGTCAGCCTGGATGTTTCCTGGGACTATGGTCCTTCACCCTAGAGCCTAGGAACTTTGTCCATGAGGTATTTGGTTATATCTGAGAAGTTTCCATGATTGTACTGCTTGTGGGCCCTATTGCCTATATTCACATACATGCAGAGCACACAATTGTGTACGTAGAAATATCCACAACCAAACCTATATCTTCAGGTAAGTGTGCTCTCCTATAGCCTCTGACACCTCTCAGCACACTTCTCTACCTTTATATCCATTTGTAAATGATTGCTTGGCATTAGTATTGTTGTGGATTGTCTATGTTATAGTAATTACCATATATTTCCCTTTATTTTTTGCCTTCCTCTCGGTGCCTGCCTTTGCCTTGGTCACGCTGTGCCAATGTCCCCACTAGTGTGTGGAGCCTTTTCCTTCACCATTACTAGCACATGGCTTCTATTTCATTAGTCATTTTCCCTCTCTTCCCCTCTCACTTATCCTTGGTAACCATCCAATAATTTTTTTTCTATTATTGTTGTTATATTTTTTTCTGTGTAAACCTTGTTTTTGTTTCAGTAATGGTCTCATACAATATTTGTCCTTTTGTGATTGACATTTCTCTCAGTATAATGTCCTCCAAATTCATCCACGTGGTGAGATGTCTTGTGGGTTTGTCATTATTTTTACTGTTGGGCACTAGAGCCACAATGTTCCTTAGAAATGAGGATAGAAAGAATGCATCTTATACACTTTGGACATACTATCAGGAGGGATTGGTCCCTGCAGAAGGACATCATGTTTGATCAAGTAGAGAGTCAGTGAAGAGAGGCAGACCTTCAATGAGATGGGTTGACAATAGGCTCAAACACAGCAAAGATTGTGAGGATGGCAGAGGCCTGGGTAGTATTTGGTTCTGTTGTACATAAGGAGTCAGAATTGACTCGACACCTAACAACAGCAACAGTATTTCATTGTGTGCATGTGCCACAGTTTGTTGATCCATTTATTGATTGATGGGTACTTGGGTTGTTTCCATATTGCTATTTTGAATAATGCTGTGATGAACATGGGTATGAACATTTCTATGTAAAGTTGATTCTTAAGAGAGATAATCAAGGTTCTAGACAAGGGTCTTTTGGAACTCATGAAAAATAATGGGGACTGAGGCTGGCCAATGGGCCATAGGAGCTTGGAATTTAATAAAAGATATTTGGTAAGCATTCTTGTATAGCAGTGTGTACAGACATTATTTGTTCTTCTTGCTGGAGTCCATGAAAAGGAAGCTGCTGCCTGGAGGCTCTGCTGCTCAGATCTCACCCAGTCACCCCGGGAGCTGAGATTTGAAGCTGCCATACAGGTACGGCACCATCCCACCCTCCCATGCAGGGTAGGGGGCAGGGAGCTGGGAAGGTATAAACGAAATGTTAAACTGCGTGCGGACCATCAGTGGTACTGTGATTGGAACTTGAAGGTGCATTTTTTTTTGTTCTCCCTGCTAGTGTAATGTTGCATGAAATTTTCTATAGTAAAAATTAAAAAAAGACAAACAAACCGGACCAGTGGATATTATCCTGGTTTGAATAGGAGCAGGAGCTGCAGAAGGCGGTGGGACTTGCAAACTTTGAGTAAGTCCTTCCTGAGGTCTAGCCACTTGCAGGAATTAAACACACTGTTGTTTAAAGGAGCTTCCCAAGCTTCTCTCCTTTGCCAATCTCAAGGTTAAATGTTCTGGGGTTTTGCATCCTCTTCCTCCCCTACCCCTAAACCCTGTATAGGGTTTCCAAGGAGCGGCTGGTGAGCTTGAACTGCCGACTTGTGGTTCAAACTCACCTTGCAGTCCAGCGCATTAACCCACAGCACAACACCAAGACTCCTCAGGCAGAAAAAATGCCCTTATTCTAAGTGACTCTGTTTCCAGGTAATTTGTCACACAGCCATAGTAATTCAAACACACACGGGATCTCATCACCAGACTGCAGGACTGTGGAGTTGGTGCTCAAACACTCCATCATTCCCAAATCTACACCTCTACTTCTGACCACGTCCCTATATTGACTTGGTCATAGGTCAGAGCTATGAATGTTCTCAGTGTAGCTCTAGTCAGTCTAGCTAAACCAGCTGATTTCCTTTACCTTGAAACCAGCTGTTCCTGTGTTAACCAGCAGTTCCTCCACCTTGCTCCAGTCCTCACATGCAGAAGCTTTAACTACAGCTTACCTGGTCTTGGCAGGGCACACTAGCCCCTATGTCCTCTGCGAGGGGGTCATCAATCACTTCCTGTGTCTTTCTGTCCCAAACTAAAACAGAAGTGCAGGATGAATGTGCTAGCTCAGTCTGGAATTGGCTTCTCAGCCACGAGCTCTCTCACAACTCACAACCTAGCACAGCAGCCCTGCAGCCATCTGACTCCTGTAGTTTGGTGTTGTCTATTTTGGTGTGCAGAACAGAAATCATGGGAGCTGTGGCTGATTTCCCTTTGTGCTGTCAGTATGAGCCCTAAGCTTTAAATCTAAAAGTGGCTCCTTGTAACTTATCAGTTGAATCAGTCTGGACTCGACCTTGGCTTGTATAAGTGTGAGCTTGATGCCCTGTCTCCCCTCTTTCTATCCTATTTATTGAGCAAACTCATCTTGCAGGACTCAAAGCTTGATTGTTACTTAGCCGTTTCTTATAGTCCCTTGTGCATCTGGGCTTGCCAATTCTTCCTACATAAATGTTCTTGCTTCTGCCTCTTCCTTTTCATGTCTGTTGTTACCACTTAAGTTCCAACCCCAACCTACTCACTACTATATGACAACAAAATCCTGATGAATGAATGGTCTTTGAGGGTTTCCAATCTTTCCCTTATGGTCCATCTTCAAACAACTGCAAGTTCATCTTTTTGAAGTGCCCTTTCATACACAGCTCCCTAAGGGTCACAGTCTGCCACTTTGTCATACCGTGGTGGCTTGTGTGTTGCTGGAAGGTAGTCCACGGGTTATTTTAAATACCAGCAGGGTCACCCATGGATTTGGCAGAGCTTCCAGACTATGACAGACTAGGAAGGAAGGTCGGTGATTTGTTTTTGAAATAAGTCAGCGAAAACCCATGGATCACATCAGAATACTCTGCAGCATGATGCTGGCGGATGAACCCTACTAGGTTAGAATGCACTCAAATTACAGTGGGTTCAACAATGGACTCAGTGTGACCAATGATTGTGAAGATGGGGCAGGACTAGAGAACGTTTTGTTCTTTTTATATATTGCCGTGAGTCAGAGCTGATGGAATGATAGCTAACCACAAAAAGTTCATAGACTTCAAAGTAGACAGGTTTTAGTTTCTTACTTTAAGGGTATCTAATTTGGTCCTTTGCTATTTCTTCAAATTCCTCTTCCATGAATCCGTGGCACCAACTTTTCTTCTTGTCAGCCTGATCAACACAATCTTCTCTGCATATGCTACAATGCCATCTCCTCTGAGGCTCAGTCTAAGGGCCACTTTCTTCCTGATGTGGTCCCTCACCACTCATCTCCAAGTCTGGGTGCCACTCACTTCTCTGAACTACTCGGTAGGCTGGTGAGTCAGAAAGAAGTTGAATGGAGACGGCAGAAGACAACCAGGAAGAACATGTTCACTCCTGTTTATGCTAAGTATGTCTGAAATATTCCAGCTAGCACTGGGCTCCTTGGTCCAGAAAGCTCTTTATTGGAGTCCAGGAGCTGCTGAGTGAAGTTGGCTACAAACTTCTGCTGTATTTGCATAGCAAGGGAGTAACTAAGGATCTTCTTAGAGAGACCTGCTTGTGACCACAGTACTCCCGGTCACTGCTGTTCTGACCATATTAAAGAATGTCTTCTGGAACTTTTCAGTCTGAGCTTACTTGCTTTGAGGGACCAAAAACTCACTGAAGCTGGGCCCCATCCTCTCCCAAAGGGAACCAAGCATTTTACTTAAAGCTTCTCAAGAAATCTGTGGCAAAGAACCAGGCTTCTTGTTAGCTTTTAATTTCCAGTACATCACATGTGTGTAAAATTGAAAACTGAAGAGAAAAATTGAAAATGGAAAATAATGGCATCCAAAATACAAGTCATAATTTCTTTTTCCTCTCTCTAAATTTTATTTATTTTTATTGTTTTGGGGAATGTACACAGAGAAAAATACACCAACAGTTTCTACAAAGGGGCTTCGAAAGATTCATGGACAAATTTCATTATTAATTTTTTTAAAGCTTTTACTGTGAATTGAGTGATAGTCTATTTGTCAGTTTTGCACTCAACCAATCATATCTTGTTTCATTGTAACACAGTCCCCTTTTTTGATGTACACAAAAACATGCAGGAATATATAATTGTTTATAAACAACCAAAGAGCACATTTTGTAAACCAGCCCCCTGCCCGTCAGCACAGCCTTTCTCTTTCCATGAGTCCAGAGTCCTCAGATGCTCTGTCTGTCCATGCCATCACCTCTGCCTTTATCTCTGGTGTCACTGCGTCTCTGGATAGGATCCCACATTCCACTCATGCTCTTCCCTCTTGCTGGTCCTAGGGTCCTCTGTTCCTGGAATGGAAGATTAACTACTCCCCCTTTTTGTTACACATCTTCTACCTCTGCAATTGTGACAATCACAATTAGTCTTGATAACAGTTACTATTAAAAGAATCCTATCCCCATTTCCTCCCCATCACCCCATCTCCTTTTACCAGACCCATCTACACAAGATGAAAACTATTCAGTGAGGATTCTACCTTCCCTTCCTCCTGAAACTAAACTCCCTCAGGAAAACTTGTTAGCCAGCCACTTTGTGCCTTTTTAGCTCCCCCCACCCCCACCCCGCCATTTTAGGTAGTCAATGTTTGAGTTGCCCATCCCCATCAACCCGGTGTACTGAGGGGACATACTTGATCCTTGATTTAAAGACTCCTTCCCTTTCAGTTGGTATTTTGTGCTACTATGTCTATAAGATAAGGTCAAGTTCATCAAATTATAGCAATTTTTCTTCCAGTATCAAATTTCTTTGTCTTCTAGTTGAATTTTGACCATCATGCCATCCAAGTTAGGTCAAATAGGTACTATCTGCAGGTTTGGGTGTTCTTGAGCACCTTCCCCGCCTTCGTAGCAGAGGTAGTTTACGCTCAGCTCTAACCCCCAGTGGCTAGGTCATGTCCATGGGCCAGTAGTTCCCAAGCTGCCCCAAACTTCAGACCATCCAGCCCTTCCTCTTAGCTCAAGGTCGACAGAACTCTATACAAATTCCCCCCTTTTTTTTTTTCGGGGTCGGGGGGATGTACACAAAAACAGGAATATGTAATCATTTACACAACCAAAGGGCACATTCTTCAAGCTTGCCTCCTGGCTGCCAGCACCCAGTCCCTCTCTTTCCATGAGTCTAGAGGCCTCAGCTGCTCCCTGTCTCCTTCTCCCCATTTCTGCCTCCATCTCTGGTGTCACTGTTTCTCTGGACAGGGTTCTGCATTCCACTTGTGCTCTTCTCCCTTGATGGTCCTAGGTCCCTCTGTTCCTGGACTGTAAGATTAACTACTCCCCCATTTATGTTACAAAACTTGTACCTTTACAGTTGTGACAGTCACAATAAGTCATGATATTTACTCACTATTGAATCATAAGACTCTTATCCCCATCTCTTGTCACCAGACTTGTCTAGACAAGAAAATTCCATTATCTTTTAACACCTCTTATCTCTTTCTAGTCCCTGGAGTTGTTGAGTTCAGCTGTTAAGAGTTTTCTTCTTTCAATGTAAGCATTTCACAGTTTCTATGAACGAAGGCAAAGATCAAAATGGATGTCAGAGGAGACACTGAAACTTGCTTTCCAGCATATAGATGCTAAAGAAAATGGAAGAAATGAGGCACAAGAGCTGAACAGAAAATTTCAAAGGTCAGCTCAAGAAGACAAAGCCAAATATTACAACAAAATGTGCAAAGATCTGGAGTCAGAAAACCAAAAAGGAAGAAT